TTCTGTTATTTTATTAAAAAATCCCAATTTTGAAAAAATTTCGATTTGCTTGGTTTCTGTTGACTCAACCCCATATATAAATCCTCATAAGTGCATATAAGTTCGACATGTTCTTTCAGAGATAGTTTTTTTTTTTAATCTTTTCTGCCATTTGAGGAAGTAATGCCTTTTCAATATATGCCTTCAAGGCACAAGGAGAATGTAATTCAGGTTTTTGCTGATGTAACCAAGCTTGACAAGCATCTGAAAAATCTATATTTTTGATTAAACTTTTTTGATTCAGATGTTTTCTCTGATGATCAATAAGAAGTTCTCCAGTTTGTACATAGTGGTCTCCCCATTTTCTAACACATCTTGCTAAGTAACTTCCTCTGTCCCATATTGTTTGTGCTATACAGTTGCTAGCCTCCATTTTGCCTTTTCCGTTTAACAATAGCTTTATGTATCTATTTATACTCAGAAGGCGCAAATAATCATATGTAGGCATGCCATTATTTTTAGATTTAGTAATTGTGCATCTTTGATTAACTTCAGTTAAGCGCATTTGTAATTTTACTATAGTTTCATTAGATGATGATGAATTATATATAGGAATTGAAGATGATTGTTGCAGTAACAATGGTGATGGTTGTGGTAATGGTGATTGTGATGATTGTAGTAATGGCAATGACAATGGTAAGGATACGGCATTATTAGATTGGTTTGTTGCCAAGGATGATGTTTCAATATTTATAGATTGGCCTAATTGCATTCGTAGTTTTGCCATAGTTTCAACAAATAATGGAGAGTTTCGTATAATTGTAGGAATAAACTTTGATGATGATCGTGACAATAATGTTATAGCATTGGTTAATATTGGTTGGGATAATATTACAGTATTAATGGATTCAGATTGAGATTGCTGTGATGAAGTAGTTAGTACATTAGTATTTGTTAATGCATTAACTTTTTTCTGTTTTTTTCTCCATATTGTTGTCCTTGACATTTTGCTACATCCTCGCATCGTTTCATCAGTATCATCCTGCGCTGTAATATCAGTACAATCAGTCTCATCTTGCATTGTAGTATCTATACAACCAGTCCCATCGGTATTCTCATATGCTTCTGCTATTACATCAGATCCATTAGTAGCTTCTTCATGTACAACTGTTTCTCGGGGTGCAAAGCAACCACGTTTTCCAGGTAATTCACTTGCAAGATGTTTTCTTTTGTTCTTGCGTGGCATTATAAAATTAACGAAATATAAAATTGTCAAGGACTGTATATTGATATTCAAGCCCGGAAGTTATTATTATTATTATTGAATAATTATATTTATATACAGTAACAAGATTTATTCGATAAAATCAATTCAGTTAACAGAGGGTGGCGGCAATTCGATATCAATTCACAAATTTTATATCGCTGGCGGCATTTGATTTATTGGACAATGAATGCCTACCAATCAATACTCTAAGACCACTTATGATTTATCACGATTTGTTTCAATTTCTACAAAAAACATATAGAAAAAGGCCAACTTTAAAACGTTAAAATTTTTTATAGATGCGGTTTTTTAAAAAACTAAACCGTTAACTTTGTAGAGCGCATTCTACTCTACAAAGTTAACGGTTTATTTTTTTGAAATCAACTCTGTTTAAAGTAGAGTAGCATTTTGAAAAATATCGTATTTTACATCAGGTGATTGTCGAATATAGACTTCCGGCACCATAATCTGATTTCATTTTGTCCCATTTTAATAATGTATGTACAACGTAAAAAACCGGAGCCTTCGGATTTTTAAGTTTTGTACAACGTCTCATGTTAGTTACGTATAAATCGATTTCATTTTATGCGTAAGTACTCATTAATTCTTTCTTAAATCCCTTTTAGAGTGATAAACTTACCAAACGAATGCTTTTTCCAAATATTTAATAATTTTGAAACTTATCCTAATAACTTCAAAACTAATTATAGAAACTTATTTTCATGCCTTCTTGTAAATCGTCAATGGTGTAGAATTGTTGTGCCAATATTATGGAGTGAACCAACAGATTATATAAAGGATAGAAGACTAATAAAAATATATCTTTTATCATTAAATGCTGAAGAACAAGCTCTAAAAAACCCCTTTAATATTATTCTTCCAAAATATTAAAGACCATTATTCGAATATTCAAGTTATACCAAAAGTGTTGGCATTAAGTTGACTGATGGAGTCAAAGATTGGCTTAACTATGAAGAATTCAATGCAGATGGATCTCATAACTCAATTTTTATGAAAAAAAAAGGAATAGATAAAAACAGGATTGTAGGTGCTATTGAATGTTCGTTGGTTGCAATGTTTTTACGAACAAGTAAAAAACTTGAATTTTTAGGGCTTAATATTAAAATTAATAAAATGATATTTGAAAATCTTTATATGAGCACTTCAATTGTTAATTTATGTTCTTGTTTAACCAATTTTGATTCCGAAGATATAAAACTATTAATGAAAGCTATTAGTAATATCACAACATTAACTGATTTATATCTTTATGATCATCTTTGTTCTGAGGGTGCGGAAGCATTAGTTGGTGCTCTTTGTAAGAACACTACACTGACTTCTTTAGTTATCTATAATGGTCAATTTGATTTTAATAGTGTAAAAATATTGGCAGACGCACTTTGCAAAAGCATTAATTTAACTTCTTTAGATATTAATGATAGTGATATTGGACCTGAAGGAGGAAAAGCATTCGCAGAGGCTCTTCGTAAAAACATCATTTTGACTTCCTTAAACTTTTCTTGTAATCAACTTGGTTCTGAAGGTGGGAAAGCATTAGCTGAAACACTCTGTATTAATACTACTTTGACTTCTTTAGATATTAGCCAAAATAAAATTAACCATGAAGGAGGTAAAACACTCGCAAAGGCAGGCACTTTGTATAAATACTACCCTGACTTCTCTAAATATTTCTCACAATGATCTTAATATCGAAGGAGGAAGAGCATTTGCTGAAGCACTTTGCATAAATACTACATTAACTTCTCTAAATATTTCTTTCAATGAACTTAATTTTGAAGGGGGAAAAGCAATTGCAGAGGCGCTATGTATAAATACTGCCTTAACCTCTCTAAATATTTCTCATAATAAGTTAAATTCTTATGTTGAAAAAAGCTTGGAAGAGGCACTTCGTAAAAATACTACATTAATCTATTTATATGTTGACGGAAATCATTTTCGCTGCGTATTTCTAAGCACACTAAAAAAAAATATTTCGATGTCAAGAGAGAAGGTTGTATAAACCTATCAACTTCTAATAAAAGAGCGCTATAAAAGATAGAGAATGATTTAATTAACTTTTATTAATAAATATTATGCTTGCAGACTGCACAACATGCGAAGTAGACTCAAAAAATCCTTCCCTAATACGTATATACTGTACTGTACATGTAATATTTTTTTTCTAGAAAATTCTTAACAAATTTATTACATAATAAATTATTATTTGTTAAACTTGGATTATTTGACCGATCAGTCATATATCCTCGAGCTATTAAACGGAATCTAGATGCTTTTTAGGATGGCTAAACTGATTACAGGATTAAGATTTGCTAATCTGATGTGACTAAACTAGTTTAATAACGTGCGACATAGAGCCTTCGGCTTTTGTGTCGATCATGCGACGTTCCACGACACTTCGCATTACGTAATTAATTATAAATCGATTTTTATTTTTAATACGTACGTAACATACTACCGCAATTTTTTCTTAAATCCCTTTTAAAATGATAAACTTACCAAACGAATGCCTTTTCAATATATTTAATAACTTTCAAATTTGTTGTAATAACTTCAAAACCGATTATAAAAGCTTATTTTCATGTCTACTTGTAAACCGTCAATGTTGTAGAATTGTTGTACCAATATTATGGAGCGAACCAACTGATTATATAAAAGATAGAAGACTTATAAGAATATATCTTTTAGCATTAAATATTGAAGAACAAGCACTGATAAATCCCTTTAAAGTTATTCTTCCAAAATATTCAGGTCCATTATTCGAATATTCAAGTTATACCAAAAGTGTTGGCCTTAAGTTGACTGATGGTATCAAAGATTGGCTTAACTATGAAGGATATGGATCGGATAAATCTTATAATTCAATTTTTACAGAAACAAGAGAAGGTTTTAAAGACGTGGTTGTAGATACTATTGAAAGTTCATTGGTTGCAATGTTTCTACGAACAAGTAATAAACTTAAATATTTAACGCTTAATGTTAAGATCAATAAAATGATATTTGAAAATCTTTATATAAACACCTCTATTGTTTATTTAAGCATTTGTATAAACAATTTTGACTCCGAAGATATAGAACTTTTAATGAAGGTTATTGGCAGTAACACAACTTTAACTGATTTAGTTCTTTTCAATAGTCTTGGTTCTAAAGGTGTGGAAACATTAGCTGATGCTCTTTGTAAGAACACTGCATTGACTTCTTTAATTATCTATAATGGTCAACTTGATTCTAAAGATGCAAAAATATTAGCGGATGCTCTTTGCAAAAACATTAATTTAACTTCTTTAGATATTAATGATAGTGAAATTGGGTCTGAAGGAGGAAAAGCATTCGCTGAGGCTCTTCGTAAAAATATCACTTTGACTTCCTTAAACCTTTCTTGTAATCAACTTGGTTCTGAAGGTGGGAAAGCGTTAGCAGATGCACTCTGTATAAATACTACTTTGACTTCCTTAGACATTTATATTAATCATCTTGGTTCAATTGGTGCAAAAGCGTTGGCAAATGCACTTTATAAAAACGTTTCTTTGACTTCTTTAGATATTAGCTATAATAAAATTGGCAATGAAGGAGGGAAATCACTCGCAAAGGCGCTTTGTGTAAATACCACTCTAATTTCTCTAAATATTTCTCACAATGGTCTTAATTTTGAAGGAGGAAAAGCATTTGCTGAAGCACTTTGCAAAAACACTTCCCTAACTTCTCTAAATATTTCTCACAATGATCTTAATTTTGAAGGAGGGAAAGCATTTGCTTTAGCACTTTGCAAAAACACTACCCTAACTTCTCTAAACATTTCTTACAATGATCTTAATTTTGAAGGGGGAAAAACAATTGCGGAGGCACTTTGCAAAAACAATACCCTAACTTATCTAAATATTTCTAATAATAATCTTAATTTTGAAGGGGGAAAAGCAATCGCAGAGGCACTTTGTATAAATACTGCCTTAGCTTCTTTAAATATTTCTTATAATAATCTTAATTTTGATGTTGAAAAAGCCTTGGTTATAGCTCTTCGTAAAAATACCACATTAATCTATTTAATTGTTTATGGCAATCGATTTCACAGCGAAGATTTAAGCTCTCTAAAAAAAAGTTTCATATGTTAAATGTGTTTATTAAAAAACAATTTTAAAAGTATTATTATAAACTCATCAACTTTTAGAATAAATGAAATATTGGTTTATAAAAGTGCTTTAAAAGATAAATGATTTAACTAGTTTTTGTTAAAAATAAAGTCATCTGAAGTTTTATAGTTAATATAAAATTTATACAAAAATAATAGTATTTTATAATAGATATATCTTAGTGATATAAATATCTCACCGAGTTTTTTTATGGGGAATTTACATATAGGTGCCCGGAAAGTGAAAATAATTACAAATAAGTGCCCAGACTAAAAATAATTACATATAAGTGCCTGATATTTAAAAAATATTACATATAGGGACCCAAATTATCGATAGTTGAAAAAACGTGACTACCGCGCTACAAAAGTAGCGAACTAAAATTATCAAATTGCCGAATGTATTCGTTATAAGAGGATAAAGGATAAATAAAGCATTGGTTATAATTATTTTCGCAATAATATTTATTAAAAAATTTAAACTTTACATTGGATATAAAAATTAAGCGTCTATGCATGTTGCCTCAAACTAAAGAACTAATTTTTATTTTTTCAATGTATGCCTTCGACTACAAGTACGTATGTTATGCCCTTTTTCGCCACATTTACCACAGGTAAGTTGGTCTTCTGGTGCTGTCTCTCCACGGCTACGTAAACGAATTTTTCGTGGTCGTCCTGCTTGTTTGATCATGGCTGGTGGCAATGTTTTGTTATCAAAAAAAACACGTTTCCACATCAACAGGTTGGACAGACTCTTTATAAACATTTTGAAGAGTTGTGATGTGATATGTGTATGAACAAATTGTGAAGGCTGTTTGCATGTCTTAAGAATAGC